AAATGTATACTCCAAATTATAAAAAACACACAAAAAACAGTAAGAGGATAAAAAAAAAAAGCCACTGTGGCCAAACAGCAGAGTAAAAGATGCAGTTAGAGACAAAAAGACATCTTTTACAAATTGGAAGTCAAATTCTAGTGAGGGAAATAGGAGCATAAATTCTGGCAAGTCAAATGTATAAATATAATAGGGTAGGCAAAGAAAGAATTTGAAAAGCAACTAGCAAAAGACACAAAAATTAACAGCCAAAATTTTTTAAAGTACATCAGAAGAAGGAAGTCTGCCAAGCAATCGCTGGACAATTGAGGAGCTAAAGAAGCAGTCAAGGAAGACGAGGCTGTTGCGGAGAAACAATGAATTCTTTACATTAGTCTTCATTGCAGAAGATAGAGGGGAGATACCTAAAAAGAATGGTTCACGTGTAGGTGACAAATTTGAGGCATTGACCCAGACTGAGGTGTCTGTCAGTAGAGGTGGTTTTGGAACAAGCTAATAAATTAAACAGTAATAAGTTACCAGGATGAGATGGTATTCAGCCAAGAGTTCTAAAGGAACTCAAATGTGAAATTACAAAACGACTAACAATGGTACGTAACCTATCACTTAAATCAGCCTCTCTGCCAGAAGACTGGAGGATAGCTAATAGCTAACATAACATTGATTTTTTTAAAAAGTTCCAGAGGTGATCCTGGCAATTATAGGCCACTAAGTCTAACCTCAGTAACAGGCAAATGGGTTGAAACTATGTAAAAAACAAATCATCAGACATATAGATAAATATGTTGGGGAAGAGTCAATAAGGCTTTTGTAAAAAGAAATCATGCCGCACCAATCTATTACAACTCTTTGAGAGGGATCAATAATCATGTGGACAAGGGTAAGCCACTTGTTATAGTATACTTGGACTTTCAGAAAGCCTTTGACAAGGTCCCTCACCAATGGCTCTTAAGCAAAGTAAGCAGTTATAGGATAAGAGGGAAGGTCCTCTCATAGATCAGTAAATGGCTAAACGACACGAAAGTATAGGAATAAGTGGTTAGTTTTCACAATGGAGAAAAGTAAATAACAGGGCCCCCCAAAGATTGTTACTGGGACCTGTATTGTTCAACATATTCATAAATGAGGTGGAAAAGGGAGTGAACAGTGAGGTACCAAAATTTGCAGATGATACAAAGAGATACAAGATAAGTCGAAGCTTACTGTGAAGAGTTACAAAGAGATCTCACAAAACTGGGTAACTTGGCAACAAAATGGCAGATGAAATCCAACGCTGATAAATGGAAAGTAATGCATATTGGAAAACATAATCCTAACTATACATACAAAATGATAGGGTCTAAACTAGCTGTTACCACTCAAGACAGAGACCTTGGGAGTCATTGTGGATAGTTCTCTATAAACATCTGCTCAACATGCAGCAGCAGTCAAAAAAGCTAACAAGGTTAGGAACCATTAGGAAAGGGATAAATATGACTGAAAATATTATGCCACTACATAAATCCATGGTACACCCATATCTTAAATACTGCTTTCATGCAATTCTGGTTGCCCCATCTCAAAAAAGATAAATTAGAATGGGGAAAAGTACAGAGAAGAGGGAAAAAAAAAAGATTAGAGGTATGGAACAGCTTCTATATGAGGAGAGATTAGAATTACTGGGACTGTTCATCTTGGAAAACAGATGACTAAAGGGGGAGGATATGATAGAGATCTAAAAAATCATGATTGGTATGGCGAAAGTAAATAAGGAAGTGTTATTTATCCCTTCACATAACACAAGAAGTAGGGGGTCATCCAATGAAATTAAAAGGCAGTCGGTTTGAAACAAAAAAAAGGAAAATATTTCTTCACACAACACATAGTCAACATGTTGAACTTGTTGCCATGGGATGTTGTAAAGACTAAAAGTATAATTGGGTTTAAAAAAGAATTAGATAAGTTCATGGAGATAGGTCCATCAATGGCTATTAGCCAAGATGGTCAGGGACACTACCCCATGCCCTGACCATGTATCCCTTAACCTCCAACTGACAGAAGCTGGGACTGGATGATGGGATGGATTACTCAATAATTGCCCTATTCTGTACATTCACTCTGCGGCATCTGGCAGTGGTCACTGTCAGAGAAAGGATACTGGGCTACACGGACCATTGGCTTGACCCAATGTGGCTGTTCTTATGTTTTCTCCCCAAAATTATGAACTGTGTGAGGGAGAATCACTCTCCTCCCCACACAGCAACACAAGCTTCCTTTTTAAGTTATTTACTTTTGTGGAGGGAGACTGAAAATTGTAAGCTAAAAGTAAGAGGGTATATGATAGAACTGAGTAGACACAGAACATGATTTGGGCCCTAGAAATTCCTGACCCACAACTGTCTCTGTCTTAAACTAGCTTTGACTGCCTAAAAAAGCCTAGACAGAGTTCTATAGCTATGAAATGAAGACATATTTGTCTTCTGAATCAGAATGAGATTCTACAGGTGCCAGTCTGTGGGAGCTACCACAACATTTGCATTTTATTACTATGAAGCCATCATTTCTAATGAATACAGCCTTACTGGTCAATTTGCAAGGGGTCTGGATCAGCTGTTCTGTGTAATCAGTGGTGATAGCTATTTAAACTTTATAGTTTATTCCCTCATTCTGATCTTGATTCAGTTTTGCACAGACTTAATTGTGCAAAAAAGTGGGCTCCTTCCTTTATTGCAAAGGATTACTAAAAACTCACATGCTTTCATTAATATAATGAGAACCACATAAACAGAGTTCACATCTAATTTATTTCCACAAACATATTACATGAAAGCACTGGATTTTCAGTGATGTGCCCAAGTGAAGTATTCCACTCCCTCATAACGGTCAGAAGAAAACTTGGAGTATGGTTATATATATTCTAGTTCTGAAACGACACATTTTGCCAAGTTAGATCAGCTACTTTACTAGGTATAATAAATAAATAAATAAAATAAACAATTACCTCTACCCTAGGGAGATTCCAAAATAACATTTTTTCTTGTAACATTCAAAGACCTCTTGTTATGCAGCTGTAATAAGGTTGTTTTCTGATTACAGTTTTGTACCTGTTGAGATGCCATAGCTGCCCTCTGTTCTGCCTGTGTTAGTCGCCTTTGAAGTCTGTTGACTTTTTCTTGATGCTCCATCATTAATTTTTCATTCTATATAAGTGAAAGATCTTATTACAACTATAAGTTTCATATATATATATTGCAGTGAGAAAACTGAGCAAAAGGAGTTTGGTCAATGCCAAATATTGGAACTATTTACCATCTACAAAACAGGAAATTATAAACGCTTGTGATTCTGAATAATTTCCAGCTCACAAACATCATATAAAAGCACAAATCCTGTTTTATATTTTTGATTGTACAAATTTTCTATACAAAGTAGACTTCAAATCAAGTTACATTAATGTCAGTATTTTAGTTTAGACATCTCATAAAAGTTGGCATTTCTGGAATATTGGAAAATTTCTTACCTGATAATTTCCTTTCTGCTCACAGCATCTTTCACAATTCGGATGTGTATGGACTATTCCCCCACATCTGCAGTTTCCAGAGGAGGTTCAAAGCTGCAGTACAGCCTGTGCTAGCCACAGCCCCTTCTGCTTTGTGCCAGATGATTCATTCTGAAGCTGTGAAAAAAACTCAGCCAATGCTTAGTAACAATAACTTCAGTGCCAACAAATTAATTATGTACAGTAGGCCACTGCGGTAACTATCCAAATAAAATGCTGACCCTTGACTGTGAAGGTAACCAGGACGGGTAGAATTGTGGTAGATGCTGCTGCTAGCAGAAAGGAAATTACTGTATAAGAAATTTTCCATTCTTCAGTCTAGCGTCTCTCACAATTCTGATACACATGGGAAGTAGCAAGCAGAGAACAGGAGTAGAACAGTCAGAAAAGTGAACATAAGAAATAGGAAAGACCCTTTTTCTGAACTGCTCAAATAGCCAGGTTATGTCTGGACCATTACCTGCAGTACCTTCTTGCCAAAGGAGGCCTCTATGGAGACAGAACGTCCGCCTTATAGTATTCGATAGAGGTGTTAGCCAATGATCATGTGGCTGCTCTGCAGATCTCTGCAGTGGAAGTGCACACTCTTTTGGCCCATAAGGTTGCCATGCATCTTGTAGAAGATGCCTTGATTCCTTCTGGAAGAGGTGTACTGGATGGCTTGTATGCCTCAGTGATGCATACTCTGATAGAAAGGGATAGTTTGGATACTCTAAACCCTTGACACTTTGGGATGAAAGGAACTGAATAGGAAACCTGATCTCCTTGTGGATTGTACACACTTGATGTAAGTTTTCAGTGCTCGTCTGACATCTAAGGTGTGCCACTGCTTCTCAGTCAGGTGCTGTGGCCATGGAGAGAATGAAAGAAGTCACTAGCTCAAAGAGATGGGTGGTCAGGGCTTTCAACACCAGTGGTAGGACCCACTAAGGGAACACTGTTCTGACAGCCCTGAGCAATCTGGATACCTGAAGGTTCTGCCAAGGACCCTGAGGATCCTGTGAATTTGCATTTTTGTTGCACTCTTGGCATCAGGCGCTGAACTTGGTCCACATGAGTAGATTTTCAGTGTTGAAACTGTTCTGGATGACAGCAGAGGCCTGGATTGTTTTGGAAGATAGGCCGAGTGTCGTTAACATTTCCCTTTCAATAGCAGGCTGTCAGTTGAAGACTATCTGGGTCGAAGTGGAAAAAAAGATATCAGGTCTTGTTAGAAACTGCAACAGTTGTTATCAGATCAGTGAACCAGTATCTCTTTAGTCAGTTCAGAGTTCTGTCATCCTTCTTGCCTTATCTTTTGGTTCATCTTTCCTAGGAGAGAGAAGAGTGGGAATACGTATAGCAGGTCTTGAGGCCATGTGTGAGACAGAGCACTGGGCCTGAGTTTTGCTTCCCGGGTGAAGAGTTTTGGCTATTTTGTATTCTTGCGATTGTCAAAACAGGTTGACTGAGGGGAGACCGAATGTCTGTGAGATCAGAGTGAAGACTTCCTGGTTCAGGCATCACCCTGAGCAGCTGACTTTGTGTCCGTTGAGTCAGTCTGCCTTTAGGTTCGGTTTTTCTTTTGTGTGTATCGCCTTTAGGGAAGTGCGAGTCACGTCTGCATGTTCCATTGTCTCCATTGCTTATGCATGAAGGACTATGCTCCTTGTTCCTTATTGCTTATGTACACAATTGTGGTTGTCTGGCTAGACCAGGACTTGGTTGCTCTCTAGGTAGGTCTGGAATCTCAGTAAAGCTAGTTTGTCAGCTGTGACGTCCAAGAGCTTGATGATGAGATTCCTTTTCCCGGGCTCCAGATACCCTACATTTTTCTGGGTCCCAGAAGTGTTCCCGATCCCTTCAAACTAGCATCTGTTGTGAGAACCTGCAGGCCTGGAAGGCATATTGGAAGACCCCTGCAGATGTTCTCTGGGACCATCCATCATTTTAGGTAATCCAACATCTGGTTGGAAATCATTACCCTGTCTTACATTCACTCCAGAGAATGGTCCCACACTCTCAGAAAAAAGGCCTGGAGACACAATGTGACCTGGCACATGTGGAGACTCATATGCATGAGACCTGAATGCCCAGTAACTAGAGACACTGAGCTATGGTTGGCCTCATGCATTTGTCCAGCATGGATACCAGATTCTGGATCATCTGAAATATGTCTAAATGATGGGTAGATCTTAGACACCGCAGTGTCTATCTCCACTCCGAGGTAAATTGTGTTTGTCAAGGGAATCATGGAACTTTTCCTCATGTCATTGCAAAGCCATGCGCTTGGAGGCAATCCAGTGTCTGGGTTATGGAACTACATGCTGCGCGGCCTGTGAGCTATGCCTTGCTGTGATTACGACTAGCCACAAAAGACTCTGGGTACAGAGGTGAATCAGAAGGAAAAGGCTTTGTCATGCTAAGGACTTTGTTGGTTTGGAGGAAAATTCATTTAGGTTTCCTTGGAAACTTCTGCTCCAGATTTTCTCCTCCTGCCAGAGTAACAGTCCCTTCTTAGATAACCTTGGCGTTGGTAGCAATTAACTGATTCCTGTGCTGGCTTTGATAGAGAGGACAGAGATCTCTCTGCAGTCTCAGCTACTAAATTCTCTAATGTTTCCCCTAACAGATCCTCACTGGTAAATCTAGATGCACAGAATGAGTGAAGACTATTCACAGATGTAACATGACATCCTTGTAGCCACCGCGTTAGAAGCCATTACTCATCACAAATTACATCAAGGGTTTGACCAAGACAGGACCCAAGATGTTTCACTCCAGTCAGGGATCATACCCCTAGAAGATGAACCATTTGTTTACAATGAAGTAGTCTTATCTATTTAATAGATAAAAAACCTTTGGTCTGAACAGCTATAGCTGAGGTTTTGAAATTGCTGTGCAATGTTTCATTGCTCTTATGGTCTATGGGGTCTTGCAACACTTTCTGAAGGTGAGACATCCTCATTTGGATCTTATGATGCCCTCAAAGGAGGCATCAATGGGAAAACACATCATAATAATGCTCAAAGGGAAAGATGTTTTATTATTAAGTTTCTTGTAGGCCAATAACTGACATCCTGTCGTGGACAGACAAGGTGGACGAGGTAATATTTTTTACTGGACTGACTTCTACTGGTAAGAGAGAGAAATTTTCGAGCCAGAGAGAGCTCTTTTTCAGGTCGGGGAAAGATATTCCGAGTGTCACAGACAAATGCAAGATGGAACAGGTTGTTTAGCATAAGTAGTTAGCACATATTGTAAGGGACCATTCAAAGAAGAGTGCCCCCTTAACACCTCTTGAGTCATAGGACAAAAAGGGGGGTTAATGGGTTACAGATTTTGTAATAAGCCATAAATCCAATGTCTTATTACAACAATCTGTAACCCACTAACCCCTCTTTTTGTTCTAGAAAGGGTCTTGTCTTATATTTGCAGTCCTTTGTTGCCCCAGGACTTACCAGGAGGAGGCCAGGAGGCTTGAAAACAAAAACATTTTAGCTTCTCAGAAAACAGCTAAAATAACAAATCTAAAAGAAAAAGATGAGACCGAGGAAAACTACTACTGTGGAGGCAGAAGATCTGGCAGCAAGCAGGAGAAGGGTGTGTGGCTAGCACAGGTTGTGATGCAGCTTTGAGCTGCCTCCAGAAACTGCAGACAGGAGGGGTATAGTTCATACATATCAGAAATGTGGGAGATGCAGGGCTGCATAAAATGGAGGTTACTTACCTGTAACCGGAGGTGCTTTGAGATGGGTGGTCCCAATCTGTATTTCATGCGCACCATGTGCCTGAATCTGTATTTTTTTTTTTTTTTAAATAAGTAGTGTCTTTTGGCCCACACATGTGCTCTGAACTGAGAGAATGAAAGGTGGTGCAGGCAGATTCCCCTCCAGTTTCCCATTTTCACCACAGTCCAAATAATTCACAGCAGAGGGGATGGAAGGAGTGTTGTGGAATGCAGATTGGAACCACACATCTCAAAGAATCTCGTTACAGGTAAGTAACCTTCCTATCTTCTTTGAGTGATGGTCCCAATGCGTATTCCATGTGTGAGAGATTAACAAGTAGTAGTCAAACAGGAGGTGGATGCCAGGACACAGAAGTGATAGCAGACTATAGTACTGCTGTCCACACAGCTGAATCCGTGGATGACTGGGACCAGAACATAATGCTTCACGAAGATCTGCAAAGAGCTCCAAGTAACTGCCCTACATATCTGTGTGTGTGTGTGTGTTCCCCGCTGGTGGAATGAGCCCTCAAACCGTGTGTGTGTGTGTGTGTGCGCGCGCACCCACCATCCACTTAGCTGTGCCAATATAGCTTGACCCCTTCATTGCTCTGCTATGAAAACAAATAGTTTACATTTCTTTCTAATGTCCTTTAGATATACAAAGTGTTTTGGCCTTTTATATACAGAGAGCCTTCTCTCTTCCCCCAAATCATGTGGTTTCGGACAAAATACTGGTAAGTGGATTAACTGATTCTCATGAAATTCAGAAACTACTTTAGAGATGAATCTGGGGTGAGGGAGTAATGAGACCTTTTCCTTATAGAAGATTGCATATGGCAGGTCCGCCATGAGCGCTCCCAGCTCATTGACTATTCTGGGTGATGTCATTGCTATTTGAAAGGCCACCTTCGTAGACAGATGGGCCACAGAGCATGTGACTAGAGGCTCAAAGGGAGGTTTAGTGAATGACGACACGACAAAACTGAGGTCGCACTGAGGTGCCAACTTTACCAATGGTGGAAAGGATCTGAGAACCACTCTCAGAAATCTAGTTGTGACAGGATGAGTGAAGATCATATGGTTATCCACCAGAGGAGGGAAAGTGCTGATCACTGCTAAATGTACTTGCACAGAAATGGGATCTGAAGACTTTGGGGTAAGTAGATACTCTCAGGGTATGTCTACACTACAAATTACTTAGGTGTAACTTATGTCGCTCAGGGCTATGAATAATCCCCACTCCATAGTAATGTAAGTTATACCAACCTAAACACTGGTGTAGACAGTGCTATGTCAGTGGGACAAGCTCTCCCGCGGACACAGCTACTGCCTCTCATGGAGGCAGGTGTTATTAAGCTGATGGGAGAGCTCTGTCCTGTCGGCTTAGGGCGTCTTCACCAGAAATGCTACAGCGGCACGGGTTGCAGGGACGTGCTGGCCGCCACTTTCCGCAGCTCCCATTCGCCGGGAACGGCGAACTGTGGCCACTGGGAGCTGCGGGCAGCCATGCCTGCGGACGGCCAATGTAAACAAACTGTCTCGCGGCCTGCCAGTAGATTACCCTGATGGGCCGCAGGTTGTCCACCACTGTTTTAGAGAGTGCTATCCCAGATGTACTACAAGTGTGACAAAGGCATATCTGTGTTCAAAAATGTCCATTATTTAATAAGGCACACTTTTCAAACAAACCTTCCTTTACTTTTAATGTATAATGGAAGGCACATTCATTTATTCATTCCTACAGATATTCTGTAAACTCTACCACTCATATAGTATGCTAAGAACACTACCTTTTTTACTATGCTACTGCATAATGAATATAATGGGCCCACCTTTAAAAGGCATACATGAATAAGATTAAATGATCTTTAAATAACATTTTCTGAATCACCACACAATTTATATATTAGTAACAATGAAAGAGGATCTCTCCTTTCTCATGTTTTATGATTTGGGAGCAAAGTTAAGAGGAATTCTAAAATCTTCAGAGGCACTTATAAACTAACTACGTAACTCATCTGGATAAGGTTCAGTAAGATTCTACAATATGTGCATGTAGTTGTATCAAAGTGGTTCCCGTGGGGGTCATTATCTTACCTCAGCTATCTTTTCATTTGCCATTTCCAGCTGAGAAATCAGCTCTTGTGTATGAAGTTTCTGTCGACTCAGCTCACTTCTATCAATCAGACCAAAGAAGCTGATTAATGTACAGTAATGCATCTGTTATCCAAATAACTAACATTTAATAGATCCTTTCTTGAGGAAGTTTTCCTGGTTTAGTCCATTTTTAATTAGACTGTTGCTCACAACACACCCAGTCAGAAAATAGCCCAACTCTAGCTTCTCAGTGATATATTAAAAAGAGTGATGGCAAAGCCATGGTGTATTTTTTATTAAGACCAATAGCCCTTGTCTTCAACATAAATACTCACATTATACAAATATAGCATTAAGCACACTCAGTACACATGCAAATTTTATTTGCAGTGTTCCCTGCTTACATGTTAATAAACTGATAAGTCAACTAAATTAATGTCATATGATTAACCTAAAAAACAAGCATATTGACCAATTCAGGGAAGTACCTCTCTGATGCACAGTCTGAAGTACATAAAATATAATTGCTCATTTTAATCTTTAAAAATGTAGGCAGAGATATGGCAATACAACTTTTAGAGAGAAAGGTACGGTAGCATGATACAACTACAAGTGTTTAGGTAAGACATTACTTAAGAGTAGAAGGAATTATGTAAATTGTAAGGTAAAAAAGGATACAGGAAAAGGACAACAGCCATTCACTCAAATGGAGAAAAGAGGCAGAAACATAACTTTCGAACAGAAGCTAAAACAGCCTCTCCCCCAGTCTGTAATTAGTAGTTAGTTTATAAATTAAACTTCACAGCATTTTGGAATAGCTTGTTCAGGATGAAAAGTGCTTCTAAAAACCACATTCTATTGTATTATAACTGGCCTTTAATGATCTCAGAAAGATTGTCTAAGAATCAGAGTTTAAGGCCAGAAGGGACCACTGTATAATCTACTCTGACCACCTGTATATCACAGGCCACCAACACCACCCAGCACCAGAACACTAAAAAGATGAAATCAAAGTAAATGAGACCCACAGAAGATTAGAATATTATGAGCCACAGGCAAAGAATAGGAGGGACTGAGGTGCACCAGTGCTCGAGGTTAATGGCAGGGAATTAAGTGAAATATACCCATAATCCTGGCAAGTGACCCACACCCACGTGCTGCAGAGGAAGGCCAACCCCCCCATCCCCAACATCACTGCCCATCTGACCTGAGGGAAAATTCCGTCCTAATCCCACATATGGTCCTCAATTAGATCCTGGGCATATGAGTAAGAACCAGCCAGCCAAGTCCTGAGAGAGAGAATGCTTGGTGCATCTCAGAGCCCTAGCCCCCTCTGCCCAATGTCCTGTCTCCAGCCATGGAAATCTCTGAGGCTTCAGAGGAAAGATATAAAAAACCCTTCCCAGAATACATCGGTGGGGGAGGGAGATCCCTTCCTGACCCCCGATGGTGAGCAGCTGAAACCCTGAAGCATGAGCTTCAGGAACATAAGACATAAATTGGAAGCGAGCCCCAGCACTGTTGAGTCCTGGCCCCTACCATCACTAACAGCCCTGTCACACAACTGTCTTCATAAATTTGTACAGCTCCCTCTTACAGTTCCCCACAACTTCTATAGGGAGTCTGTTCCAGAATCTCACCCTTCTAATGGTTACAAACTTTCTTCTAATTTCCAGCCTGAATTTGTTCATGGCCAGTTTATATCCATTTGTTCTTGTGCCAGCATTGTCCTTTAGCTTAAATAGTTCTTCGCCTTACTTGGTACATACTCCTCACCCCAATGTGTTTACAGAGAATAATCATATCTCCCCTCAGCCTTCTTTTTGCTAGACTAAACAATCCAAGCTCTTCCAGTGTCCTCCCATAATAGGATGATCAGGGGAATGAAGAGCCTAATAGCTTTTCTCTGCAGCTGTTCTAGTTTAAATTCATCTTTCTTGAAGAAGGGTGACTACAATTGTACACAGTGTTCCAAATGAGATCTTACCAGTGCCTTATACAATGGCATTAATACATCACTATCACTATTGGAAATGCCTCACCTAATACATCTTAGGATCACATTTGCCCTTTTCCCCCCACAGCCACATCACATTGGTGGCTCATGGTCTTCCTGTGATCAATCCACACACTTAGGTCTCTCTCTTCCTCCATCACAAGCTCCCAGCTTGTAGCAGAAATTCTTATTATTAGACCCTAAGTGCATGACCTTGCACTTTGTTCTATTGAATTTCATCCCATTTTTGTCACTTCAGTCTTCCATATCTTTCCTGTATAATATTCCAATCCTCCTCTGTATTGACGATGCCTCCCAACTTTATGTCAGCAGCAAATATCATTAGCACACTTCCTACTTTTTGTGCCAAGGTCATTAATAAAAATATTGAACAAGTTTGGTCCCAAGACCAATCTTTGAGGAACTCCACTAGTAACCTCCCTCTAGTCTAATAATACATCTTTCAGCACAGTCGGTAGACTTCTCCCATTTAGCCAATTCCTTATCTATCTTAGAATGCTCATACTGATCCACATTTTCTCTAATTTAATGATTAATGATTTCATGTCAAATGCTTTACTGAAGTTCACATATATTAAATCTACTGCACTTCCCTCATCTTAAAAATCTGTTGTTTTCTCAAAGGAGGAAATCAGGTTAGCCCAGCATGGTCTACCTTTGGTAAATCCATGTTGTAGTACATCCCCTTTAACATTTATCTGTATGAATTTCCATTTCTAGACACTGATTTCCATCAGCCATAGTGTTTTCATACACACATTCCATATCACAATTGTTACTTAAAACTGAGGCAAAGTATTCATTTAGTTTTTGGGCCATACCTAGATTATCTTTAATTTCCTTCCCATCCACACTGCATAGCGGCCCAAAGTATGTAGCTCAAAAACTTGTCTCTTTCACCAACAGAAGTTGGTCCAATAAAAGCTGTTACTTCAGCCACCTTGTCTCTCTAATAATCTGGGACCAACATGACTACAACACTGTAAAACATCTCTTCTTATTTATTTTAATTTCCTTGGCAAGAGCTGATTCAGCTTGACTTTTAGTAAGTCTACTTCATTCTTACATTTTCTAACCTCCATAATGTAGCTTTCTTTGCTTACTCCTAAATAAGCTTTTTGAGGTAGCTGTTCATCCATCTGGGTCTGGAGCCTTTCCCTACAAGTTTTTTTCCTTTTGCTTGGGATTTAAATCCTTGAGCTCTTTAATCCATCTAACTTCGTTAACTGCAGCAATTCCCTTAATTTCCTAAAGTCTGCCCTTTTGAAATCAAAACTCAGTTGATTATCTGGTTTTGATTATCCTGCTATTTCACTGAAATCATGTAATCAACTCATGATCACTTGATCCAAGGTTATTTCCTACAACCAGCTCTTCTTTGATGTCCTCACTACTTACCAAGACCAATACTAAAATGGCCATCATCTCTTGTTGGTTCAGTGATGATTTGATGAAGAAAACTATCAGCTTTCACATCCAGGAATAAGTGGGCTCTACCAGTATTAGCAGTATTAGAATATATAATCTATACCCAGGAAGATAAAGTCCCCTGATTATGACAATACTCAGTAGTATTTATCACTCTAATATGAGAGAGATCACTATGCATACCTGAATCTGGCCCTCTGGTCTATGGCAGAGCCTTAAAATTATCCCTACAGAACCATTTTTACAGTGCTTCACCAAAGAGATTTTTGACCCAAACAGATTCTGTTTTGTCCGAACTATCACTTCTTATTTCTTTACAGTTTATCACTTTGTTGATGTATAGCGCTACCCCACCACCTTTACCTTCTTATCTTTCCTAAACAGAAAATACCTTTCAATTCTACTATTCCAGTCCTGGGTGCTATTCCACTATTTTTATGTAATCCCTGTATATCTGGTTTGACCTCCTGCAACAGTAGTTCCGGTTCCTCCATTTTATTGCCCAGACTCCTTGGATTCATGTACATTTATTTCAGTTGTTTCCCTAATACCTCAATCCAATTTTCTAGCTTGTATTGTTCCATCATCCTGTATTATATCTTCATTTAGCTGATTTTCCTGCTCCTGTGTACTTAAGCCAGGCGTGGAGATGTCAGAAGTCTCTCCCAGCCTTCTCCCCTCATCTCCTAATTTCTTTTTTTCTAGGAATAGGGTCTAGGAAGAGAAGACAACGATGGCTACTGAGGCAGCAGTAGAAATGACCCGAGGAGGAGACAAGTCAGAAGATGGTTGGACGCAGAAGCTTGGGATGTACATCATCATTGAGGGGGTATCTGATGGAAGCTACTTATGCATGAACTATCACTAACGGTATGAGCTGGGTCTGTATTTAAATATAGCTAATATTAAACTACACACATACTGATAAAACACTTTTTTTTTGAAAATAAGGAAATTGTTAATTTTAAATCATCAAACACTACCTTTTTAAATATCACTTTACGGTCCAAAGAATAATTCTGAATTCAAAATACTAAACAAGTCATTGAAAAATAATCTATTCCTTCTACACCTGTGCGATGAAGTGTGGAACTGGCACATTCAACAGCACAGACTTTATCAGAGTGGATGTGATCATGTACAGTGTTACACCAAGAAAATATTTTTAGTTGGAACGTCACACCAAACTACTCTTGAATCTGTTAGGGTCTGCTTAGCAAGTGTCTGCAGTGTGAACTTCAGTTCACTGATATTAGGGTGCAATTCCTGTAATGACTGCCACTGTGATATTTTGGGGATCACCCAGCCCAGTAAGGGGTTTTGTCACTGGCTGTCCTGTAACACTGGGATGCCTTAATGGTATGCTGTTATGGCTCAGATCCCTGACACCAGCACAAGGTCTCACCCTGATTCCAACAGCCTAGTTACTCCTTGTAGGGTCACTCCAACAGTCCCAAGTCTTCCCAAGTTCTGAACTACCAGACATTCAGATTATCCCCCTCTGGTTCATCACCCCCAAAGGGATGAAACCAGCCCCCCTGTTATCAGTTCACTTTGGCACATACATTCCACAGTTTGTGCACCAGATGCCTGCTTGGGTAAAAATAAACAAAAAGTTTATTTAATAGAAAAAC